ACGTCCATGTTTAGGCCCCCGGATCTGGAAGTGCCTCAGGCGCACGTCCATGTTTAGGCTCTAGGACTGGAAGTTCCTTGGTGTCCATGTTTAGGCCCCCGGATCCGGAAGTTGCAAAGGTGCACGTCCATGTTTAGGCTCTAGGACCGGAAGTTCCTTGGTGTCCATGTTTAGGCCCCCGGATCCGGAAGTTCCAAAAGTGCATGTCCATGTTTAGGCTCTAGGACCGAAAGTTCCAAAGGTGTACGTCTATGTTTAGGCCCCCGGATCCGGAATTGCCTCAGATATCCATGTTTAGGCCCCCGGATCCGGAAGCGCCTCAGGTGCATGTCTATGTTTAGGCTCTAGGACCAGAAATTCCTCAGGTGTCCATGTTTAGTCCCCCGACCCGGAAGTTCCAAAGGTGCACATCCATGTTTAGGGCCCCCAGATCCGGAAGTGCCTCAGACATCCACGGAAGTGCCTCAAGTGTCCATGTTTAGGCCCCACGGATCTGGAAGTTCCTCAGACATCTATGTTTAGGCCCACGGATCCGGAAGTGCCTCAGGTGCGTGTCCATGTTTAGGCTCTAGGACCGGAAGTTCCTCGGTGTCCATGTTTAGGCCCCCGGATCCGGAAGTTCCTCAGTTCTCCATGTTTAGGGGATAGCATCCAGATGTTCCTCAGGCACACATCCATGTTTAGGCCCCCGGATCCAGAAGTTCCAAAGGTTCACATCCACGTTTAGGCACCCGGATCCGGACGTGCCTCAGGTACACATCCATGTTTAGGCTCTAAGACCGTAAGTTCCTCAGGCGTCCATGTTTAGGCCCACGGATTCAGAGGTTCCTCAGGTGCACATCCATGTTTAGGCCCCTGGATCCGGAAGTTCCTTGGTGCAAGTCCATCTTTGGGCTCTCGGATCCGGAAGTTCCTCAGTCCTCCATGTTTAGGCCGTAGCATCCGGAAGTTCCTCAGTAGCATGTCCATGTTTAGGCTCTAGGATCCGGAAGTTCCTTTGGTGCACGTCCATATTGAGACTCTAGGTTCCGGGACGTCTTAACTTTTAAAGGTGAGAATTTGAGGATCAACAAAAAGCTAAGAGCCTATTTCTTAGAAAAATAAACACACAAATAATCAAAACTCTGTCTTTATTTTCAGGAGGTTGGTAGCCACCTTGTAAGGCAGCTGTACACCTGGCTCAGAGAATTTGGCCTCAGTCCAAGCTGCATAGTGGGCATTGGACAGGTAAGAGATTGAGGCAGGTGTTCACTATGCATGTATTTAAGGAGTGAATGGACGAGACTCTCAGTTTCTATGATTTGCTTTGCAACTAAGCATCTCCAAGTGTGACTGCGTTGTTTCTTGATCATTTAAGGCTAGTTCTGATTTTGAGGAATATCACCAAGAAATACTGAGTTTGGGTCTGTCTTTGACCCTATTCTGCCCTCTCCTCTTATTTCTAACCAACTGAACACTTAGGGAGAACATCTGGTGCTCAAGGTGGCTTTGCGATCTCCAGTGAAATTTGTCTTTGCTACTGTTGAGATGCTAACTTAACCCACTGGGATATTGGAGAAAGGAAATGATATGGTGGATGTGAGAATTTTCTTTAGAAAGAGCCAGATTGTTTTCCAGAAACTTCCAACCCACCGTTGGTGTGGTGCCAGAGCTAGATGTCACCTGTAGATCACATAGGAAGAGGTGCGCTATGTGCTCTTGATGCTCAATAGTCCGCCACAGAGGTGACATTGCAGTAGCATTCTACGATGGGATTTTCTCAGGCAGGTATTACATGATTTGAAACTTTGCTTGTTTGCCTTATATTTGGCAATGATCCCCTCCCTTTGACTCCTTCTGTTCTTACCTCATCATCCCCCCATCCCCCCTCCACCACATCATCATCATCCCAATAGATTAGTTCAGAGTCTCTCACCAAGACAATGACATTGACACTCGTCTTGCCTCAAATCTACGCCATTTTTTTTTTTTTTTTTTTGCCTCTGCTGTGTCGCTGAGTTAGACATTAAGTTCCTCTTTATCTTCAGGGCTGTTATTTAAATAATTACAACTGTTGTTAAAAATCAGACTGTGCGCTGGGTGCAGTGGTGCAGCCTGTAATCCCAGTAGCTCAGGAGGTTGAAGCAGGAGGATGGCAAGTTTTGAGGCTAGCTTCAGCAGTTTAGCGAGGCTCTAAGCAATTTAGCAAGACCCTGTCTCAAAATAGAAAATAAAAAGAGCTGGGGATGTGGCTCAGTGGTTAAACACCCCCGGGGTTCAATCTCCAGTACTAGTACCAATAATAATAATAATAGTAAATGAAAATTAAAATGGAAATGTAACTCAGTGAAAAAGCACCCCTGGGTTCATTTCCCCAGTACCAAAAATCAATCAATCAATCACACTCTGCTCCTGGGAAGCTCTACAATCAGGCAGATTCCTTCTCTCCTTATGTTCTGTCCTATGATTAAACTACTTCTTAACCCATCCTAAGGTAGCCCTAAGTTTAAAGCCAGGCTCTATTATTTACTGCCTGTGTGTTCATGAAATTTTTAACCTCCCAAGACTCAGTGTTCTCATTTGTGAAACAGGACCTCCAAGGGTATTGTTTAAATGCACGGGTAGGAAGATGTCTACACAGCCCTGGGTGTAGTATCTGGCGAGGAGAAAGATCTTCAGAGTTGTTAGTTACTGCTACTCTTGCCATGGATTTTGGTGACCTTCATGTGTGTGTCCTGGGAGAGCTAGTCTAGCTGAGTCTGGAGTTGGCTCTGTGACCTAACAAAAGGCAATTTCCTCCAGGGGACTCCTGAGGGCCTTCCGGGGAGGAAGGGGCTCAGCAGTCTGCTGATGCCTTTGGTCAGATGTCCTGAGATGTTTATCTGGATTCTTCAAATGCTTTCTTCTTGGCTTGAAGTGGGCAGAAACATTATGAGAGGTGAATCTCAAAATATTCCAGGAGCTGATGAAATAAGTTGTCAACTAAAGTCAAACTTAGAAAAAGCCCCAGAACTCAGTCTTCCCTCTGATAGCAGTTTTCAAATCTGTAGCTCCGCCAGCAAGGCTTCTTTTGGTCCATATAAATTCTGTTAGTCTCTCTTTGCTAATAGTTTAATGCTTCTTTTTTGGGGGGGCGGGGGCGAGGTACCAGGGATTGAACTCAGGGGCACTCGACCCCTGAGCCACATCCAAAGCCCTATTTTGTATTTTATTTAGAGACAGGGTCTCACTGAGCTGCTTAGCACCTCACTTTTGCTGAGGCTGGCTTTGATCCTCCTGCCTCAGCCTCCCAAGTCTCGGGGATTCTAGGAGTGCACCACCCACCATGCCTGGCAGTTTAGTGCTTGTTTATCAGACAAATTACTGCATCAGAAACATAACCCACCTCATCTTCCTTGCTGGATTAACTGGTGCTTTCTGTCCTCTACGTAAATCCTATTGCCTCTGCTGGGAGAATGCACATGGCTCCCAAGGAGCAGCCCCCTTGCTGTTTCATCCTGGTCTTTCTGTTCCCACAAGCTCAGCTGGCTCTGTTGCTGCCCATCTCCTCTTGTGCCAGTTCTATTTGTCATGTAATTACATATTTCGCCTAAACGTTTCGTCAACATTTCATTTAAGTGCAAGAAGAGAGTCGTTGATTCTGTGAATGTTTTGGAAAGAGTATTCAGGGATCGGTCATTGGGAGTAGTGAGTTGTGCAGGTTCAATTCACAAACTCTCCTTGGTCTCCCGTGAAGCAAGCACCTAGGGCTGAGGGTGTAGCCTATGGCCAGGAGAATCTGTGGGTGCCTTCCAATATTCACTAATATTTTATGGATTACCTTCCGACGACTATTTATTCAATCTCCAAACAGCCCCTGTGAGGCAGGAATTATGATCATTGTTTCATAGGTGGGGTTTCAGAGTTCAGAGAAGTTAAATAACTAGGGCCAAGTCATACACTGCAAAGGTGAGTCCTAACCCAAATCCTGTGATCAATGTGATGTGCCTGGTGATTCGGATGGTAGCATGAACCAGTCGTCTCAGTACGAAGACCCAAGTCCATAGCCATTATCACTCACCAGCTGTACCTGAGCAGCTAAGATTCTGATCTGCTGGACTAGTTTTGGTGGGGGATTTTGATGCAGACCATCTTAAGCTTCTGTCTTGGTCTTGTTTCCTGTGGCTCTTCTAGAATACCAGAGAATGGGTCATTTATAAACCTTAAAATTTTATTTGGCTGATGGCTTTAGAAGCCAGGAAGTTCAACATCAAGGGGGCTCTAGTGTCGGCCTTGTTATTGAGCCATAAACCCGGGAGAAGGCATCCCTCAGCAAGAAAGCTCAGGAGAATGAGTAAAAGGGGCTGAATTCACTTTCCCCAAAGCAAACCCACTTTCAGGATAGCCATGCTGATCTGTTCATGAGGGCCGAGACTTTATGACCAAGTCACCCCTCGAAGGTCCCACCTCTCAACACCCCTGTGTCGGGGATTCAGTTTCCACACTTGAAGCTTTAGAGGACACAAACGATGGCAGCTTCCAGGTCAGGAATTTCTCAGAGAGCCCTCTTCCTGACAAGCTCAGATCTCCTCCACTGTCCTGTCCTGCTGGCTGGGCTGTGAGCCCGTGGCCACAAGAAAACACTCAAAGAGAGCCACCAGAATGGGAGTCATTGCTTCTGCCAGCACATGTCCTTGGCATTGTTGTAACACCTGCTTGTTTTGGTGCAATATAAGGGGTCTGTCAGAATTCCCATATTCTCCCTATTCAAAGGGAAAGTCATTTGGCTAACCTCCCCCCTCCCTCTGCTCTGTAATTTGGGTGTGTCTGGGCTCAAGGAGAGCATTGCTTTATCATTCAAATCACTGTTGACCATTTCAAGTTAATATTGAACCAAATGCATATGCTTTTTTTTTTCTTTCTTGTTTTTGTTTCCCATGCAACAAAAGAAAGGACTAGACTTTGGGTTAAAGTGTGGGGGGGGAGAGCAAAGCACCTTGAGCATTTTTAAAGCGGCGTTTTGTAAAATTTGGTCTGTGACCCACGGCTTGAGTCAGCTTTTTCACTGAGGTGACTAAAAGATCTGACCAGAGCAATGGTAGGAGGAAAAGTTTATTTGAGGGCTCCCAGTGTCAGAGGTCTCAGTCCACAGACAGCTGGCTCCATTCCTCAGGGCTCGAGGTGAGGCTGAACATCATGGTGGGAGAGTGTGGCAGAGGGAAGCGGCTCACATGGTGATCAGAGGGCAGAGAGAGGTCTCCACTCTCCAGATACAAATTATATACTCCAGAACCATGCCCCCAATGCCCACCTCCTCCAGCCACACCCCACCATTCCCACTCAGTTAATCCCATGAGGGTCTAATCCATGGATTAGGTTAAGTTTACCATCCAATCATCTCTTCTCCAAACCTTCTTGCATTGTCTCACATGTGAGCTTGTGGAGGGCCCCTCACTTCCATCCAAACCATGACACCCCGCCGCCCCCGTAATGGAATTACCCAAGCAGCTTATTAATCTCAGGCATTTCTAGGCTTGACTCCACGGCTATACAGTCAGGCGCTGTAAATGTAGAACCTAGGGTGCCAAGTTTTAGAGCCACTGGTTTCAATGAATCACACAGAGAAATAAACATCTGTATCTGTTTCCAATCGCTGGCTTCAAAGGGTAATATGGTCCTTACATTTCTGGAGGTCAGAAGTTTGAAACCAACTTGTAGACAGAGCTATCTTCCTTCTGAAGACTCCAGGTCCAGGGGAGAAACTATTCCTGCCTTTCTCCTAATTTCACTATTAATCTCACCCATGTATTCATTCAAAAGCATTAATTCTGCCATTTCTTATATCCTATATCTTAGGCCCAGGCTTCCCTCCCCGCCACCCCATCCTGTCTTATTTCTGCCCTGTCCACATTACACACCAAAGCATGCTAACTGCCGTATACCATAGGTACAAAAGCAAACCCTTTACCACCGAGGGATTTGCATTCTCATGGTGAAGACTGATGAGTGAACAAGGTATGACACACAGAGTGGCAAGTGTTATCATCAAAGTAAAGGAGACTGTGAGAGAACTTGGCAGGAGGGAGAGATAAGAAGATAAAAAGACAAGGCAAAGAAGGTTTCCTGGAGGGACTAAATTTGAGTAGGGATTTGAAGGAAAAGTAGGAATTGGCCAAGTGATAAGGGTGGCGGGTGGAACCAAACAGCTGATGTACCTAATGTTTCTATGGGAGTTTGTTAAGGTGGAGCCACGTGTCGATGGGTCATGG